CGAGGAAGAGAACGAGAGGCGCGAGGAAGAGAACGAGAGGCGCAAGGAAGAGAACGAGAGGTACGCGGAAGAGAACGAGAGGTACGAGGAAGAGAACGAGAGGCACGAGGAAGAAAAGGAGGAGCAGGAGGAGGAGGTGTGGCTGAGAGGAGATGTGTTTCAAATGCTTCCAAAAGAGCCTGAAGAACCTGAGGAACCAGACCTCCTTCCTGCTCCGATTCCAAGACCTCCAGTTGCTACAGAGGAGGAACAGGTAGAAACCGAAGAGACGCAAGAAGGGGAGGATAGGGAGATCATAGTTGTAAACAGAGGAGGCCTTCCTCCAGGCTGTGACATCTCTGACGTTACTGCCACATGTGAGGATGCCAAACTCACACACTTCCCTCCTCTGGCCATTCCTGAGCTGAAATCTCTCAGTCTGGAGGGTAAGTCAACACCGGAGACACAGAGCCATTAAAGAAAACAAACCCTCAAAACAATCTGAGGATTTCAGAAGGATGTATATTATCAGTAGAGTTATACATATACGTGTGAAACACTTAAAAAGGAAGCTTCAATATTATGTCAACCCACAACTCAGATGAAGCTTCTTAGCCTTTTTTTTTTTTTTTTTTTTTTTACAGTAAGAGAAATATAAAACTGATAATACTCGCATTAGGCTAATGATTGCAGAGGATTTGTACTGTTGCAGTTGAATGCAGTGTTTAATCAGTGACCTTGCATATTGGACAACGGGCAACCTGTAGGCTAATTTAAATATTCATGAACTTTTTTAAGGTGAACTTTTTTGAATGTTCATAATATTTTCATTGTAACATGTTACTGTATTTTGATTCAGTTACCCAGTGTGCTTCCCTTTGCTTACTTTATCATAGTCAGTGTCGGCCCAACCCAGACTTAAAGCATAAAGTTGTCATCGTGTATATGTTGTCTTAGCCTTGTGACATGAACACTGCTGGACAACAATCGCAAATAATCTTTTTACAGTCAAAACAGCAGCATCTTTTACCAAACAAACAACTAATGCGCTGCAAGGTTTGGAAAAAGCAGACTTGCATTATTAACATTGATCATCTAAAGCTGCTAAAAATCTGAAGTTTAACAAGAGAAAGGCATGACAACTGCCTTTCTCTTGAGAAGTGAGAAGCTGGAAAAAACTTTTAGTTTGCCAAATTAGTATCACTTACCAACCTGGGGAAGGGATTTAGAAACTAAGACTCCAATTAAGAAAGCACACAGAAACAAACTACAATCGGAGAAATCCTGTTGTCAATACTAACTGAACTTGCTCTGACCTGCAGGCAACAGCATCAGCAGCATCCCAGCAGATGCCTTTAATGGAATTCCTAACCTGGAGTGGATCAACCTGAAGAAAAACAAACTTACTTCTGCCGGCATTGACGCTAAAGCCTTCAAAGTAAGTCATAATAAAACTGAAAACGACTGAAGCCCAAGCTTTTCTTAAAAAATCATCTGCCAGAAATATAACAATGGTTCAAGTAATAAAGTTTAGAGGTGGGTGTGCAAAGACATATGGCCATCTACAGTGTAATATCATCAACTCCACGGAGAAAGAAAGGTGTAACATAATAACAAAATCTGAAAGACTTGGTAAGATTTTTAGCAATTTTTTTTTTTATGAGAAGGAAAGTAAATGTCCTACTAAACCTAAAAACATCTGTAAAATATGTAAATGCCAAAGAGGTGGAAAGGGAGAAGGAGGTCTGCGTATCTGCTTAGACTGCTGCGCCTGAAATTTAGACGAGGAGAAGCAGCAGGGGAAAAAATAAACAGACCGATGGAAAATATCCAAATGTGAAAAAAGTAATCATCTAAACATGTTGCATTTTATTAATAAATGTGGCAAATGTGGAAACAACATTAAATGAAAAAAAATTAACTACAAATTCAGAGAAGGAAAACAAACATGTATTTCTATAATAATAATAATAATAATAATAATGATAACAAGGATAATAACTTGGTGGCAGCCTATTTTTACTTTCCAGTACTTATACCTGCGTGTGTGTGTGTGTGTGTGTTTCAGGGTCTGAAGAAGCTAACACGTCTGTATTTGGATGGAAACCTTTTAGACGTTGTGCCATCTGACCTTCCCCCAACCCTGCAGGAGCTGAAGATCAATGAAAACAGACTGAGAGGGATAGATGAAAACAGCTTCCAAGGTACTGCTATTACATCCTTTAATGACATCCAGCTGGTGTTTCTTTGTCCAAGAAGTCAAAGTACCACAGACATTGATTTGGCACTATCTAAATAAAACTGAATTGAATTGATATGAAATCTCCTTATAGTTTGACCTCATCAATTACATGGCCTGTAGGACTTCCAGAATCAACAGGCATCCCTGAGCACTTATTTGGGCAGCTATAAATATAAATATGATCTTAATTTACATTAATTTTATTCATCAAATAAGCATAAAGCTGCATGTATGGAATTAGTCAAATCTGATGAAAAACACAAATGTTTGCCCTAAAATAAAGTTTTATGAGACTTTATTAGAGTTATATTTCTAGCACAAATTTTGCTGCTGCAGGATTCTTCCATAGATTCCCATTCAATATTCCCATGTCTGTCTCCTATATTGTGTCTGGTTACAAACAACCATTCATTCTTTTAAAATTCAAAATATAAATTGGTTACTTCATGGATTGCACAGCTCACAGACCAAAAGAAAGTTAGATCCTATGTATGGTTATTCACTTCTAAACACACTATTCATCACAAGTTTATCTTTTTTTATCTTTAAGATTTGAGCAGCCTGGTTATTCTGGAGCTGGAAGGAAATCTGCTGAGTGAGGGGAATGTAGATCCTCTGGCCTTCGCTCCCCTAATCCAGCTTTCCTACCTCAGACTGGGGAGAAACCATTTCCGCACTGTACCACAAGGCCTTCCCAAGTCATTGCTGGTATGAAACAATATCTGTTTCCTTGACTCTCTGACTATCTCTCATTCCTTACACTGGGATACATCCTTGGCCACATTTTTGACTTATTTAAAAGACCCCCGGGCCTCATATTTGAAATGAAATAGGCTTATATGACTTCCAAACATTGGGATCTATAAAAACAAACTTGGCAGCCAAATGCTCGCAGCTATATTGAAACTCTAACCTATGTGAATGATATTTGGAGACAGAAGAAAACTGGAAATGCAGACTGCAGAGAGGTGAATTATATGTGATGCCTCTCAACTTATACACAATATTGCCAAAAATATTAAATCACCCATCCAATCTTTAATATATTGATATGTTTGTTCATAGAATTTGTGAGGTGATAGCCCTTAATGTTCACATGTAATTCTAAAATCTGTGCACACTGTTAAACTAGAATATGGAAGCTTTAATCAGCTCATAAGCCTTTTTGAACTGCAGCTGGCAAAGAAAATAAATATACACAGCTTTCAATAAACCAACCCATGACATAGTTGATCAATTTTTCTTTCACATTGTCAGAGTAGCTGAATTTACTTTTTGCTGAAGTAGCAAAATTTACTTTTTGGGTCTGATGTTTAATTTCTGCTTCTACCTGTGGGAAACCATTCCACCCGAGCAATTATGGCTTTTGGCTAACCACAAACAATGCAGAACACCAGCAACACAATGCTGCTGTAAACCTACCTTAAAACCTACTTCATTTTATGACACTGGAAAGGTTTTACTTACTCTCTCTGCAAATCCAAACACTCTGATTGTTGTTCATCCAGAACCAGAGTATAGTCTATCATTAACATGTTTCTCTGCTAAATATTCAGGGTTCCAAGTTTTGTGAGAGACTTTGGCTTTTGAATAGTGAAGAGTTAATGATTATAATTAAAGGTTATGGGTGGTGGTCACACTCCTGCCTGCCTTCTCATTTTACTAATTAGGCTGAAAAAACACAAACACAGCTTTGGCATGAATTATGCATTTACAGCCTTAAACAAAGTCAGGAAGAACAACAAACCCATTTGCCAAGATCTCTGAACAAAAACCATCCAGGAAACATATGTACACTGATTGCATGTGAAATTAGGAACTCACGGTAAAATTGGATCCCACTTCCTCATAAATAGTTTCTATTATGACGCTCGTGTTGCCAAATATTTTTTTTTTTATGTTTTTCCATCTTTTAGGAACTCTATTTGGAGAACAACCTGATTGAAGAAATCTCAGAGACAGTTTTCAATCAGACCAGCAATCTGAACATAGTTTCTTTAAGACACAACAAACTGGAGGAGACCAGGATTGCTCCACTGGCCTGGATCAACCACAGGTCTGACAGAAAGAGAGGCTATTACCCCCACAGTAGTGTTACTTTAGCTGTAATTTTCATGGTCTCTTACTGTTAGTAATTGTTTTTATACTGTTACCTTCTCTGCAGAAATTTGGAGTCCATTGACCTTTCATATAATAAGCTTTACATGGTTCCTTCATATCTACCAAGATCTCTAGTTCACTTGGTGCTCTTGGGAAACAATATTGAGAGGATACCTGGTAGGTGTGACTGGTTAAAGGATTATCTGGCTAATAAATGTTGCCTTCTTAAAGTTAGCGGACTGACACAAAACCTTCCTATTCAATGTTTTATTTTTTAAACAATAATAACTTTAAATGGATTAGGCTGATGATTGATCTAAGGTTTTTAGAAAATTAACTTCTATAATACATAAGTGGTGAGTGCTAGCTACTATTTAGGTCAGTTTCTCCAACACTGAGAAAGCAATGCACAAGCAACATCAGAGGTTTGGGTTTTTTTATGCTCTTTCTGATGTATGGGTACTGGAAGTGGTCAAAATGTATTTATTTTGATCTTTTTATTAACCATAAACAAACAAAACAATAAATAAATAAATAAATAAATAAATAACATTGTCAAAGTTAACAGACTACTTTTGAATGACTTAATGATTTGCTGTGTAGTTTAAGGTGAGCTGCAGTTAACACTTATTAAGACTTGTACAGGTAGAGTTAAATTATTGTACAAGGTAAATTATTTTCTTTAAATACCTCGACAGGTTACGTTTTTGCCCACATGCAACCTGGTTTAGAGTACCTCTACCTCTCCTACAACAAACTGGATGGAGAAGGGACTGAACCTGAGTCGTTCTTTGGGGCCTACCACTCCCTGGTCGAACTGTGTTTGGACCACAACCAGCTGGTTGTTGTGCCATCTGGCATCAACGAAATGACCAACTTACACTTCCTCAGACTCGACAATAACATGATCAGGTACGAAAGCACTATTCATAAATACACATGCCTTAATTTTGAACGTTCTAATATGCAAACTTTTTAAACAGTTACTTCCTTGAAACACATGAGACTGTCTTACTTGTAATTTGTTTATGTTGAGAACATTTTTTGGCACTGGGCGTACTGTTACAGGCAGAACTCTACTGTTATATGTCTGCACTAGCTAATTATAAAATGGGAGCATAAATGAAGCTTATAGAAGACACCTCTTAACAGCTCTCTATATTTGAAACTCTCCAGTCCATCACGGATCAGTTATAAAATAAAAACAATTTCAAAAATGTAATATCACTTTGCTAATTTTTACATGTTATTTGTTTATGGGTTTTTTCCCCAAATCAAATGCTTTGCACAAACTTCCAAGACAGTACAGAAAAAGTATTACTATTGACTTGATTGGTACAATGGCGTAACTAATAATTAAAATTAAGACTGATGGTGTAATAATGATTTGCATGATTTGCTCCGACTTTAATATGATGACCAGAAATGATTACTGATTTATTTAGTTACAGAAAAAAATAAGATAGTGATTGATGATCTCAAAAAACTCATTTAAGTAAGAAAAGGAGTCAGGAAAAAACATAGGTGATTAAACACAGAACCACAAAGTCATTTAAGACCAACAACAAAGCTCCTATGACAGACATGAGTCTGACCAGATGACTGACTCATTCAACACAGACTGCCAAACAATATTATACTGAAAGTTCACTGGATGGAGAGTTGTCTTGACGACAAGAAACAAAACAAGTTGATTCATAGTTCCACCTAGGAGTCGCACTGAATCACCTCATTATGCACTCACAGGTTTCTTGCGCTGTGCACACAGTCCAGGTCGTGGCAGTGTGTTTTATTTGAAATTACCAATTTAAACACTGCACTTTGGTCTGTCATTATTGGCAAGAAGGGTAACACTGCAGGTGGGAAATTACAATCAGACTTGAAGGAAATATTGCTAACCATTCTAACATATGTGGTGCAATAAATACACAAAAAAATCCTAAAAATGAATAAATATGTACAAAAGTTTAAAACCTTGAAAACGGACTAGAAATGTATGTGTTAAATTTCTTCTTAGAAAATGCTAAGTGAGTATTTTCTTCTTTTGGAACATGTTTAACTACACAAAGAAAACAAAAGACGATCTGCAGTAAATGCAACATGAAGTGAAAAGTAATTAGTAGTGTTGGTCTTATATACTCATTATATTAACTAAATATTAATGTCTGTGTATTAATAGTTTTGGTGATTAATGAACTCTGTAACCGTGTATCTTCTGCATATCAGTGAATTGTACATTAAAACAACATAATGTTTCCCAGAGGGAGCATATATGCAAAAATATACTTGGGCACAGATCAGTACTTTATAGAGCAACTCCATAATCTGCCAGTTAACACATAATGGAAAAAAAAGTTTGTTTCAGCTATAGGGAATAAACATGAATCTATATTCTCATGCTATGTCTTCAAGGAGTATTCCTGATGAAGCCATCTGTGACCCAAACCGCAGCGGGGACTCCACCTTGGTGGCTGTAAGATTGGAAAACAACTACATCGACCCCCAAAAAATCTCACCAATGGCCTTTTCCTGTGTAAGATCTGCATCAAGTGTGGTCTTAAAACCCCAGAAAACCAAGTGAACACACATAAACAAAATAAAAAACTGAGAGACAGTGGACTTTAATCTGCCAAAAGAAGTCAAAATCTCCTTTCATCATTTTTTTCTGTTACTAATATCATACAAATAATATAATACAAATAAACCTAAAAAATTACAAGAAAACGCATTAGTCTGATGTCAAAATCTGACACACATTCAAACATGGGTACTGTCGTATGGTAAGATGCTATTTGAACATTTTCTACAACTTTAGACCAAACACATGGTTTGGTATCTGGTAAACTGTCCTGCTCTGTCACCTGGCCCATCTTAAACTGGTGTGAAAGTGACAGAACACATCTGTCTACTCTCAGAAAATCTTCTTCCTCTACTTTTGGCTGGTCCCTCTAGAGGGTCGCCGCTGTGGATCACTGTGTAAAAGGGAAGGAATTCACAGTAAAATGAAAATCCTAATAAAGAAATGGAAAGAATTCTATGAAGTGTGACTGCAAGCACAGCGCATTATTTTTAACAACCTCAGCACCTTCATGTTTCATTTCTCAGCAGCAATTCTTCCACTGCCTGTTTTCATAAAAACCCTGACATGGAAAGCTCACACGTGACACATCCCCTAAGATGATTGCGTTAAACCAAGTGCTGCTGGAGAGCCAATTCCTCAAACAGATCAAGATGAGATGTAATGACATGCCTGTTCCTCAACATTTTATCTTTATCTTGCTTACGTGTATGGACATAGGGCAGTGACCTCCTCAATTGTAGTTAAGTCTGATTTATGTTTGATGCAAAAATTAAGTGGGAGTCTTGCTATTGCATGTGTTATGATTTACAATTCAGCATCATCAAGATGAATGCATCATATGTGATATTGAGCTTTTGTTATGGTATATCCTGCACAGCAACTGTTTCACTTCACTTTGTGGTTAAAAGAATTCACAATGAATTCACAATTCATTACAAAGTTATGACTGCATCTGTATCTGGGTTAACTTCTATTTCTTCTTATCCTGCTTTATATAGTATGTGTCTTAACATGGGTTTATTTAATCCCAAGTGGGAGCAGAGTATGCTAAAGAACTTATGGAGATTATGGCCAAACATTTCTGACTTTAATGCTGCTGCATGAAAATATCTTCTTTTACTTACTGTAAATTTGTACTTCTGTGTTTTCTTTAAACTGAATCTTCTTCTTTCCCAGACAGAAACACACAAGACTTTTAGATAATTTAAACTCTTTTACTGTGCATCAGCTTTCAAGCTGTGCAAACTGTAATATAATGTATTACCACTTTGTACATGAAAGGCTCGTTCTACCTTAACGTTGCTTCGAAAAGCTCTCACTAGAGGTCCAAAACACTCAACAATTTAACAATTTACTTTAGATTTTTAATTTTTTTTTTTTTTCACAAATTTAAGATATATTTGAAGATTATATCCTTTCATTTGCTCTTGGCTGGCCAACATGCTTAAATTATATGAAGTTGGTGAGTCAACTTTATATTTTACAGTTTAGCACAATGTTATGATGCACGGAAGAAATAAACTTTAAGTTACCATTCCTGTCTGAGTGAAGTCTGCCTAAACCTAGTACCCTCACATACCCAAATAAGTTAGATTATATTGCACTGGATCCCCTGATCATTTACACAGCCTGTCTGTCCAGGACATTTAGGAGTATATTCATGTTATCAAATTAACAGCTTGGGCTTCAGGGAAAAAGTGGAGCCATGATGACTTTTACAGAATAAGAAAAAAAATGTAGTTAACCTTCCATTACATGTCTTTTAGCTATATGTAATACATATTTACTGAAAGCTGCAATTAACAGAGCTGAAAAAGCAAACCAATTCATAATATTTTCCTCTACAAGCCTGAGGTTTAGGATCATTTACTTCAGTCACAGACATTGAAAGGATGATTGAAACAGAAAAAAAAACTAAACTGTGAGGAGCATAAAACCTCAGCTTCTTTAATGGTAAAAAACCTGAAAATATTAGATAATTATATGGGGACTAAAATTAATTTGAATGAATAAAAGCAATAAAACAAAGAATCACAAATGTGTGGTCAGTTTCTAGATGCCGGCAGTTGTCATCTGACTGAACCTGGAGCTGGAAAACTTTCCTCCCTTGAACTAAAGCTGAGATGAAAGTTTTTCCTGAGGGAGTTCTCCTCTGCCAACATGAACAGCTGCTCTGTTCATCAGTCTTGCATATCAAACACGTGAGTGAACAATCATATACTCATTAGTCATGTGACCTCATCCATGCTCCTCAGGATGAGGAGATGTAATTGAAAAAGTAAACTGTAAAGTCATTCCCATGTACTCAGACATTTTATCAGGCACAAAAGATCAGTACGGAGATGGAACTCAATTCATCTGATTTCTGTGATATAAAAATGGAAAAAATGAAATTAAAAGGAAAATGAAGCAGCTTTTTATGTTTTTTTGTGAATAACAGTGTATCCCTAACTTTGCAACCTTGTATTTGTGAGACAAATGAAACTGTGACTATGATGCTTTTGTTCACTGGCCAAAACTGAGATACCTACACTCAGCAGCCAATTTGTTAGGCACACCATTCAACTGCTCATTAACGCAAACATGTAATCAGCCAGTCACATGGTACAAATGTATGGAACCAGGCATAAGGACATGGTAACGAAGACCTGCTGGAGTTCAAACTGAGCATCACAATGGTGAAGAAAGGTGATGTAAGTGAGTCTGACTGAGGCATGGTTGTTGGTGCCACACAGGCTGATCAGAGTGTTTATGAAACTGCTGATCTGCTGGAATTTTTCTATACAGCCATCTTTAGGTTTTACAGAGAATGGTCATAAAAAGTGAAAATATCCAGTGTGCATCAATTCTCTGAGTGAAAGTTATGCCAGATTTTTTAATGTTGATCCCAGAATTCAGAGGAGAATAACCATTGAGCTGATAGGAAGGTAACAGTAACACAAATGACTACTTTTTACAACAAGTATACGTAGAACATACTGGTTCGATGGAAAAGGTTTGATGGAAAAGACCACAGTGTTCGAGATAAGTCTGTGTCTTGCATGCAAACTATGCATCAAAATGTTGGTAAAGTACAGGATAAATATTCCAACACAGTGCAAAAACAAAGATTCCTTAGTTTTAAGGGGGCATAAGCTAAAACTGCTGGTGACCACTAGGGCTGCCACAAACGATTATTTTGATAGTCGAGTAGTCACCGATTATTTTTGCGATTAGTCGACTAATCAGATCATGCATCCATTGGACGTAAAACATATAGCTTATTGCACCAGCATGCATCTGCACTGTCATTAGCTTACAGCTTTAAGTGTCTAAGGTATAACAATAACATTTTTAAGTTATCTAAGTGACTTATATATCATGTTTAACCTGAGTAGCGAAAGATGGCGGTGGGTTTGAAAACAATTTGCCGGGTGTCCGGTGTTCTCACAGGCTCTAGTGAGCCTTGTACCCCGGCTAGCTATTGAGCTGGTGGGTAACAGACGTCTCCG